GAGCCGCCGGAGATCGACGTCGACAAGTTGGCCAAGATCGTCCGGGAGCTGCCGGGCTCGCCGCCGACCGAGGAGGAGATCCAGACCTTCATCAAGCTCCTCGACGAGTCCGGCGGGTCCGTGGAGCAGGACGGCATGGTGAGCTTCGACGAGTTCGCGGACGCGATCTTGCCGTGGATCTCGTTCGGCGTCGTCGACGACGACGGCACGGGCGAGCTGTCGCCCGACGAGCTCAAGCTGCTCATCTGGATCTCGGGCGGCGACAACACGCCCGAGCCGTCGGCGCAGGTCGTGCTCCAGGCCATGCGCGGCGTCGACGTGAACAAGGACGGCGTCTTGGTTCGTCTCGAGTGGCTCTGCTACAACAGCGGCTACGACCCGGCGACGGGCGCCATGAAGTTCAGCAAGGCCGCCAAGGACATGTTCGCGAAGATGGACGCCGACGGGTCCTCGGAGATCTCCGCGAAGGAGATCAAGGAGATCTTCGCGAAGGAGATCGGCGTCGCGCTCGAGAACATGGAAAGCGAGGCGCACTGCTGCTTCTCCCAGAGCAGCCGCGACGCGCTCCAGGTGCTCATGATGAACGCGGGCAACGAGGTCGCGGACCTGATCGACGAGGACCACAGCGGCATGATCGAGTGGGACGAGTTCTACGCGCACAGCGCGACGATCGCGGCGAAGCAGGAGAAGATCCGCGAGTACGCCAAGGTCCTCCTGGTCCAGGACATGCGCGAGCGGCCCGAGGCCCGGAGGCCACGCGCGTCGGTCATGGTCCGCAACCCCAGCTCCAAGAGCGCGAAGAAGAGCGCGGGCTCGTCGCCGTCCAAGGCCGCGGGCGGCCGCCGCGCGTCCCAGCGCCACATCGCCATGAGCAAGGGGCACTAGGGGGACCTGGGCGTGTTAGATTCCATCGTCGCCTCGTCACTATTGGATGCTTAGTGAACGTCTACTAGGCGCTATGAATTTTAGCGCGGGGCCGTATGCGCGTCATCAGGGCACGACAAAGAAGGTCGCCAAGCCACTTGGCAAGCGGCTCAGGGAGGTGCTGCCTGTTTGTTAACTATAGCCTCTCTTTTTACGCGCTATCGAACGACGCCAGGGCCTCGACGAGGGTCATGGTCCCGCCGTTGGGCACCAGGCCCAGATAGGCTCCCATTCTTTCGAAGGCCCAGGCTTTCACTTCCGCGAGATGCCCGTCGAGCTCCGTATTCTCACCCAGGTTCAGGCCCTGAAAGTGCATCATGTGTCCGAGCGCGCGAAAGTCCATGTACTTGAACGCGGCCACGGTATAGCAGAGGATTGCGATAAACATCTGCCGGTCCCGGTGGTCGTCGGGAATACCGCGACCCGACTCGTAGAGCTGCCCGAGATCATACGCCGCGTGTTCGTCCCCGAGCCGCAGGGCTGTCAGATGATGGGTGTAGGCCGTGGGCGTCTGCTCGCCGCTCCCCTTCATGATTTCCGCGTGCAGCCGCCCCATCATGAAGTGGCATACGCCATCCGGCTCCGCGACGGCTTCGACGATCGCGAGGGCTCGCTGGAGGGAAGGTCCGGCGCCCGTCTGGCCCTCCGCCTCCATCTCCGAGAGCATGATCACTGCGTCGA